TTAGTGGGACTATCATTTGTTTTTCAACAGGACAATGACCCAGCACACCTTCAGGCTGTGTAAGGGCTATTTTACCAAGAAGGAGAGTGATGGAGTGCTGCATCAGATGACCTGGCCTCCACAATCCCCCGACCTGGTGGTTTGAGATGGTTTGGGATGAGTCGTACCGCAGAATGAAGGAAAAGCAGCCAACAAGTGCTCAGAATATGTGGGAACTCCTTCGACTGTTGGAAAAGCATTCCAGGTGAAGCTGGTTGAGAGAATGCCAAGAGTGTGCAAAGCTGTCATCAAGGCAAAGGGTGGCTATTTGAAGAATCTCAAATATGAAATAGGTTTTGATTTGTTTAACACTTTTTGGGTTACTACATGATTCCATATGTGTTATTTCATAGTTTTGATGTCTTCACTATTATTCTACCATGTAGAAAATAGTAAAAATAAAGAAAAACCCTTGAATGAGTAGGTGATCTAAAACTTTTGACCAGTAGTGTACATTCTTCAAAGAGTTTTGTAATGGCTATTTGAAATCGTATTTCATTGTTCACAAACAGCATGTCTGACTAGACTAGAAGCTGCCTTGGGCTGTAAATGGAGATCAGATGAATGACTGGACATAAGTGATTTAGCCTACTACCAGTCTGGGGAGTCTCTAGTTTCTATCGGTTACTCTAAGAGTGCTAGAAGTCTCACCCCAGACCAGAGCGGCTAAACAATTGTCCTCTACTCCTCCTCTCCTGTTCTCTCCCTTACCCCCTTCCTCTCCACCCCTCCCCTCTCCCCGCTGAGCTCAGAAGACCAGGGCCAGACCAGAGTAGGAGTGCTAATCTAGGATCAGGTCCCCCCTGCCCATGTTATCTTATTCATTATGATCTCCCTACAAGGCAAACTGATCCTACAGTCGTGGTCAAAAGTTTTGAGAATGACCCAAATATTAATTTTCAAAGTCTGCTGCCTCAGTTTTGATTATGGCAATTTGCATATACTCCAGAATGTCATGAAGAGTGATTAGATGAATTGCAATTAATTGCAAAGTCCCTCTTTGCCATGAAAATGAACATCAGGGACAGACTGATATTCTGCAAAAGGTACAGGGATTGGACTGCTGAGGACTGGGGTAAAGTCATTTTCTCTGATGAATCCCCTTTCCGATTGTTTGGGGCATCCGGAAAAAACTTGTCCGGAGAAGACAAGGTGAGCGCTACCATCAGTCCTGTGTCATGCCAACAGTAAAGCATCCTGAGACCATTCATGTGTGGGGTTGCTTCTCAGCCAAGGGAGTGGGCTCACTCACGATTTTGCCTAAGAGCACAGCCATGAATAAAGAATGGTACCAACACATCCTCCGAATGCAACTTCTCCCAACCATCCAAGAATAGTTTGGTGACGACCAATGCCTTTTCCAGCATGATGGAGCACCTTGCCATAAGGCAAAAGTGATAACAAAACATCAACATTTTGGGTCCATGGCCAGGAAACTCCCCAGACCTTAATCCAATTGAGAACTTGTCGTCGATCCTTGAGGCAGGTGGACAAACAAAAACCCACAAATTCTGACAAACTCCAAACATTGATTATGTAAGAATGGGCTGCCATCAGTCAGTATGTGACCCAGAAGTTAATTGACAGCATGCCAGGGCGGATTGCAGAGGTCTTGAAAAAGAAGGGTCAACAATTCAAATATTGACTCTTTGCATAAACTTAATGTAATTGTCAATAAAAGCCTTTGACAATTATGGAATGCTTGTAATTATACTTCAGTATACCATAGTAACATCTGACAAAAGTATCTCATAACACTGAAGCAGCGAACTTTGTGAAGACCAATACTTGTGTCATTCTCAAAACTTTTGACCACGATTATAGATCAGCACTCTTACTCTGAGACCCTTTGTGAATACTGGCCCAGAAGTGACCAGTGGTGCCTGGAGAAGTGGTTATACTCTAATTTTGGCCAACATTTTTCAAACGGTCCGCCTGGCAAAGGCATGGAAGGAAAGGAGCAAAGGAAAAGGAAAGGTCCCCTGCGTGAGAAATTATACGAGTCAGAAATTCACAGGTTTCAGATGTTTTCCATTTTTTTCACTCTCGGTCACACTTTTTAAATAGAAAATCAACAAAATTGGATGCTTAAACCACATCAGGAGTCCACTTTTGAGGTCTAAAAAGATTGAAATCTAAGAAATTGATTTGTTGGTGTAGTTCCCTTTTAATTCCAGTGCGCTGGCACCTAGCACAGTTGTTTGGTTAGTGGTGTTTCTGTTGCACATGAGATGGAGTTCGCAAAAAATGCCCACTGGATTGATGCAAATAATCATAATATCATTTTGCCTGGTAGGCATAGGCTACTTTGTAGCTGGTTAACATTTAATTACCAGAAGACGGTAAGCCCTATCATTAGCATCTCTATATTTTTCCTGTTACTTAATTGTTTGAAACCTGGACGTTTACTTCATATTAAGAGGCATGCATGTCTTAGCTTGCTTCAAAGTAGCCTATAGCCAAAATCCCACCATAGAAACATGGAGGCAATTATTTTATAAAAACTTCCTCATATGCGTTCTCCTGTTCTATTGGTTTTCTTTCAACTTTCCTTCATTGTCTAGCAGCTAAAGGCATTATCCTAGTCATGTTCGCAACCCATGATAGTTGTTCTTAGATCTCCCCTCTTTCTACATTTCTAATGGATGTTTCCAGCTCTGTCCATGAAACCGCTCACATGGGCATTTTATAACAGTGTTTTCCAGCACATTGCATTTTGGAACGTTTGCACGTAGGCCTACCACCGTGTGAACATTGCTGAGCTTAAAATAATAGTTTAAAGAAATAATAGTTTATCAACATTTTAAGCTAAACATTCTGATCCGTTCCATCAACCTTATTATTTGATACGGCGTATACCTCCACTACACTACTTTCATACGCATCAATGGGGATTAAGAAGTGAATATACGCAATGCCCTCTGAAAAATAAGTGGGTATAGACGTGACTCAACAAAATTCAAAACCAGAGAGTAATACACAAGTTTCTTGAGAATCCATCAACTCCGCCAAATATGATGATGTTGTACCTTCAATAAAATAAACAAGGAGAACTCGCTAAATATTTAGTCAATAACAAAACGGGTTAATATGCTCAATATCTTATCAAAAAAAGCATGTACCAGAAAAATAAAAAATCTGTCTACCTGTTTAGTTTATGATTGGTATCTATGTGCACCAAGGAAAGGGGTCCATTGCACTGAATAACTACGTCGCACCACACATCCAAGCCTGGCAAGACGGGACAGGATCCCAGCTGCATCCACACGATGCATTGATGCTCTCAATCTCCACCACTGGACATAGAAGCCCATTGACACAAACTGTCCCTTGATAAAACGATAACCAGCATTTGGGTTTTGATGGTTTTCACAGTGTTGTCGAGCTCTTCATCACAAATAGTACTGTATAACCCCCTCACAGATAAACCATAATTCATGCATCCTTCTAAATATGGTACACTTGGAGACTCCCAGTAACTCTGCAATGCATGGTACCGGAAGGTGAGTTTCGAACACATTCTTCAGCTGTGCTCCATCATGCTGGAAAAGGCATTGGTCGTCACCAAAATGTTCTCGTTGAATGACAAGTTTTGGGCTGCCTGTTACTCCAACAACTGCCTCAAGCTGAATTGATGTCATGGGGCGCGCCTCAATTTCAGCTTTGACAAATCTCTCAATGTCACTGTGATCATTGGAGGGAAATCAACCTTATCAGCAAATGATTCAATGAGGATACGCTCATTATTGAACAAGAATTCCAGGTAATGCAGATCCAGGGGTTGCCTGATGGCTTGCTGCAACCTGGACTTCAACCTCTCCAGGAGCTGGTCTTTCAGAATGTTCTGATAACATAAGAAACACAATTAGCTAAGCATACAGTACTGTAATGTTTTTGGCCATCAAATATTGACCCACGTATTCTTGAATAACGTCTTAGAAATGCCTGATATCATTACTGCCTCTAATGGACTGTTTCACTCTATTGCATAAGTTGTTATTGTGTGTTGAGCTGAAAAGTGTCGATGTATGCAGGTTGCATGGCTATAATGTGCAGTAGGTAGTTGGGGAGGGGGGGGTGTAACTTCAATTTGATGATGGATGATTTTGAAAAGCAGTCACGAACATTAGCTACCCCATGCATCTGAACTCACACATTACTGTTAACTTACCCTACGGGAACTACAACCTAGCTAACGGTAGCTGTCTAGCCAATGCATGAATGAACGTGGGGGGTGTAATTAACGTTATAGCAATGAACAAGATCGTATAAGAAGGTGATAACATCATTTCATGCAAACTGTGAAAGCTAACTTTATAGAACTCACCTGCTGTCTTCCTCCATCACATCAGGTCGTCCTGGTCAGATCTTGTTGTTGCTTGCGATTTGATCGATGGAACAATCCAGGCAATGATATTGGTTTTGGTGTGGTTTTGGCAGAGGGATCTGATTGGTCAGAGTTTAAAGGTTCTGCCCTCAATTTTCATAACACTTTTTTCCTTGTGAAAATCTTGTCTACAAATTTACGAATCTCTTGGTGCGTGACAGTGACAACTCTGAGCGCGCAGATTCAAAATCTGCAAGTGTATTTTTATTCACAGCAGAATATTCATAGTCGTAAATGGAATTGTAATAATTCTGAAAATAAATAATCCTTGCAAATTTTTTATGAAATGTATTGAAGTGTCAAATCAAAAGTTTGCGATAGTTGTTACATTTATTCACACATCATGATACAAGCTTGTGAAATTAAATTACACATTTGCAAATTGTAATTGCATCCACAAATCTCAATGTGCAACCACAAAATTACGTAGTTGTGTCATCATTATAATCCCATACCCCCCCCTCCTCTCCCCATTCACAGGTGAGGAGGAGAGACATGGTGAGATGGAATATACTAGTGAGTGTCATCCACCCTGGCAAACTACTAGGGCATTGCCTCAGCATCTGACAAGAGTATGAACCGGAGGAATGGCAGCAAGCTGGCAGGGGACCATGACAGCCTCCAGATGGACAGCAAGGCCACTGAGCAGGCACCCAACATGGAGCAGAAGAATGGCGAGATCATGGACTCTGAGGAGGTGGAGAATGGCAAGTCTGAACCCATAGTCCCTCTGGCTATGGATGGGGACGTCACTGCACCTGATGGGGGTTGGGGCTGGGTGGTGCTGGTGGCCACCATCCTGGTGCTAGCCTTGACTCTGGCCTTCCCCTCCTGCATGGGCATCTTCTACACGGACCTACAAACAGAGTTCCAGGCCAGCAACCAAGAGACCTCCTGGGTGCCTTCTATAATGACATCAGTGCTTCATGCTGGAGGTATGGTGGTAGTAGAGTCACATCCTATTTTCCATAGATTTCCATAGTTTAACCTTATGAATTTAAGTAGGATTTTTTCAGGGCTCATTTTGCAGTGACAGATTAATATATGCTTGCAGGGAAATGTGCTCAAAGTAAGTTCAATGATAATTGACAGTAAATTTAGTACACTATAAGACTATTAATGTAGATGTTGACCACACGTTCTTTCAGTGCACGAGCTAGTCTAAACATGGTACAGACTTCCTTCCCTTTAAAACACTTAAAGCAGAACTTCTAAACCACTCAGCAGACTAGCAGTTCAAAGAGACTTTAAAGATCCCAAACAGTCATTCTGATTCCCATGTAAAGTAGCCATTTGAGTGACTAAAATATCACCCATAATAATTTTGGGGCATAGAAATGCTATTTCTTTGTTGAAAAATTACTTTTTCTCTCATGGCTAACTACCAGGAAGTTTGAAAAGACAGGCTGAGTGGGCAGGGAGCTTATATTCATGAGCTGGCCTTGACTGACATTTTGTTTGAAATGCCTATGTCAAGAAACTTCTGTCTCTTCTGATGCGGTTCCCAGCCGCACTGACGGATGTGTTGACATGACAACTGCGTCAGAGTTTTGAACAACCCTTTCCCCTTTTGTTCCATGCTAGTCAAAGACCTAGCCAGCCGGTAACTAGCTAACACCAGACACAGATGAAAGAGGAGACATATAAGTATCTTTGCCGTAGATGAATAATATAAACTTTTAATTATATTTGCTGACACCCTACCGTCAAATTTTGGCACCAGTACAGTTGCTATCTAGCTATATAAACCACGCCCTTTCGTAATCACGCATTCTCCGATGTTGGTTACAAGGTGGTACTTATTTAAATTAGGTAAGAGAATATCATGTAACCATTGCTGTATTGGAAGAGATGGAAAACGCACACTGTCATTTATTTTAAAAACAATTTTCAAAACTGAGGCTTAAATGCAAAATAAAGATTTATATTAAAATCATGGTGCCCAAAAAAATCATAGTGCAAGAAAGTGCATAAATGAAAGGTGAAAACGAAACACAAACGTTTCAGCCTCAGGCTATCATCGGTTTGAATGTCGGCACACACACCTGGCTTCTATTTCAAGGATAATTGCATGTCACATGATCAAGCAAGAAAACATCAGAAAATATATGAATCAGTACCTAGTAGAATAGAATGCATGATATAGATTATATACAAAATATACTAAAGCAGACAGAGAAATATTATCAATTATTGCTTTTACATATACCATGTGAACATTTCCTCAGAATAAATAACACAGGATTGTAAGAGTAGGGAGCTAGAGATACCACTAGATAGAGGTATCGAACACCAATAAGAGGCAATATACTGTATATGACATTAGAAGAGCTGCATGTGAGGAACTGTTTGATAGTTTAATAAACATCTTTATTTGCATTTAAGCCTCAGTTTTGGATTTATTCCTTTTTTTCGACAGTCTCCATCTCTTCTAGTATACTTATTTTGACTCCTACGCACCTGGAACAGACACTATTCAGTAGTAAGGACCTTAAAAGAGCGCAGATGGCCTCTTACCATTTGGTGTATTAAAATTAGAGTTAGGGTGATGTCACCCTATCCTCTTAATAATCCTGCTTGCTGAATCCAAGTGTTTGACATGGGGGAGGGACCAATAACCTTATGATCAAACTTTATCAATGTAGAAGCAGCAGTCATTTTTCATACTTTGGTCATCATACTTTGATCTGGTTTCATCAAAATATCATCACATTTCATGGAAAACATGATTTTGATTGTTCATCAGGAAATATTCTATCAGACAATATGGATGATGCTAGGCATATATTTTTTTCCACAACCTTTTATTTGCAGTGTCCGTTTGTAAGACAGAGTGGGGCAGCTGATAAATGTGTTTTTATGACATGTCACTGTACAGTTTGTATTTGTTTCATTCTTGAACTACACTGAACAAAAATATAAATGCAACATGCAACAATTTCAAAGATTTTAATGAATTACAGTTCATATAAGGAAGTCAGTCAATAGAAATAAATAAATGAGGCCCTAATCTATGGATTTCACATGACTGGGCAGGAGTGCAGCCATGGGTGGGCCTGGGAGGACATAGGCCTACCAACTTGGAATCAGGCCCACAGATTGGGGAGCTAGGGCCCAGCCAATCAGAATGAGTTTTTCCCCACAAAAGGGCTTTATTAAAGACAGAAATACTCCTCAGCACCCCCTCCCCCACTCAGACGATCCCGCAGGTGAAAAAGCCGGATGTGGAGGTCCTGGGCTGGCGTGGTTACACGTGGTTGTGAGGCCAGTTGGACATACTGCCAAATTCTCTAAAACAAAGTTGGAGGCGACTTATGGTAGAGAAATGAACATTCAATTCTCTGGTTAAACACGTCCGCACACACAGAATCCATGGAAAGTGTGTATGAGAGCCAACACAGCCCCTGTTTGTTTATTTGATAAGGGAGATTTCAAGAGATGTTGTCTCACCCTTACACACACCAATGCTGTGTAGCACCACATGAGCTGCCTTCCATTGTTCAGTCACAGGGGGTCTGTTTCTGTTTGGATTTCAAGCCCTTAACATCTGGAAAAGTAAGTGTGTGTGTGTGTGTGTGTGTGTGTGTGTGTGTGTGTGTGTGTGTGTGTGTGTGTGTGTGTGTGTGTGTGTGTGTGTGTGTGTGTCAACTGCTTAAAAGCAACAACAAAGAATCACCAGAACTTAATTAAGTTGCTGAGTTAGAAGTTTAACTTCTGAGCAATATGTGGAGAAATCAGTGAGCTGGTGGGCATTTCCATCGAAAAGGATCCATGAGCATCAACATGTGAAGTTCATAAGAGCATATCAAATTGGGTGTCCAATGAAAGCTAGAGTCTATATTTTTGGGAAATGAAGGCATAGATACATTTTTTTCAACCATTTTCCATCTTAAAAATTAGGCATAAGTAAAGGCTTTGAATTCTGGATAAACAGATGGAAAAGGGGTCTAAGAAAACATCTACCAGAAAAGGTCTTAAAAGGTATCAGAAATACATCAAACTACAATAATGTTGACATAAAGACCCCTGCCAACTAATATCAACACATATATTTAGTTTTGGATATTTTTTTTAACCTTCTGTAAGTTTAAGAAATATTGCCTTGTGCATTGTAATTCCTTTACCAAAAACCCCACATATCTTTAAGGAGGGAGGATAATAAAAGTTCACAGAAGTAATAAGTAATGGTAGACCTACCAACTAGTTATAGTGATTTTACTGATACAAATTTTGTTCATGATTTATTAAGTGATTAAAACTCGTAATTCCGTTACCAAATTGGTAATAGAATTACAAAACGATCAGTAAGGAATTACTGCAACTGATTTGGCTACAATGGGAAACCATAATAATCACAAACCACAGTTGGGTCACCTGCTACTGTCCTCCCTTCCACTGACATAATGTTATGTTTATGCTCTGCTGTGCTTTACTGTACTGCAGTGTTATGTCCAAACTTGTGAAACATGAGGAGAATAACATTTATATCCATAATTATGCATTTCTGTGTAGTACAGATCAGGGACCCATGATGTAATTTGATTACTGTAATTCCGTTACCGGGTGTAAATCCACTTCACTTACCGTAGTTCAATAACCAAAATATCTATTTTTTTATATTAATTCGGAGCAGATATTTAAGAGTTTTAAGAAAACATTTTCACATAAAAAAACTGAGGGAGATTTTATTGTAATTCCGTTACCAACGTTTGCATATGCACAGTTCTTCCACTATATTTGTTTTTGTAAATGTTGCAGTGGAAATTGTTAAAAGCAGTCCTTGTGCATAGGGTTGTATGGTTTGTTTAAAAAAAGTGGTTTTTGTTTGGCATACATTTTAAAGGGACAAAACTGAGTCAAAGCGCAGTGTCAGGGTGTACTTGCAATCTACCTATCAGTTTTTACTACTTGTTGCACTTAAGTTCCCTTTGGTGCACCACTTGGCTCCACTAAGTATATCTCTACAATATCTAACTGGGCATCTTACTGAGAACTCCATATTGCTGCCAATGCTTGATTAAATACTAATTCCAAAAAACTGAACATAGACACACAGCCGCGGGAAGTACGGGTGCTAAGGGTGCCACAGCATCCCCTGAAGAATCTGTTAATAAATCTGTTTTTTCACAAAAGTAATGCACTGGGCCTTTACTAGTCCTGTATTAGCAGACCGATATAGCCTTCTGTAGTGCAGGCAAATTCTTTTTTTTGGTAGGTGTGTAAAAAAATACAAATAAAATAAAGCAGACGCTGAATATCCCTTTGAGCATGGTGAAGTTATTAATTAGGCTTTGGATGGTGTATCAATACACCAGTCATTACAAAGATACAGGCGTCCTTTTAAAACAGTTACAGAGTTTAATGGTTGTCATATGAGAAAACTGAGGATGGATCAACAACATTGTAGTTACTCCACAATACTAACCTAAATGACAGTGAAAAGAAGAAAGCCTGTACAGAATAAAAATATTCCAAAACATGCATCCTGTTTGCAATAAGGCAGTAAGTAATACTGCAAAAAAACGTTTTGTCCTGAATACAAAGTGTTATGTTTGGGGCAAATCCAACACAACAGATCACTGAGTACCACTCTTCATATTTTCAAGCATGGTGGTGGCTGCATCATGTTATGGATATGCTTGTCATAGGCAGGACTAGGGAGTTTTTTAGGATGAAAATATAGCTATAATCACAGGCAAAATCCTGGAGGAAAACCTGCTTCAGTCTGCTTTCCAACAGACACTGGGAGACGAATTCCCCTTTTCAGCAGAACAATAACCTAAAACACAAGGCCAAATCTACACTAGAGTTCCTTAGGAAGAAGACATTGAATGTTCCTCAGTGGCCTAGTTACAGTTTTGACTAAAATAGGCTTGAAAATCTATGGCAAGACTTGAAAATGGCTTTCTAGCAATGACCAACAATCAACTTGACAGAGCTTGAAGAATTGTAAAAAGAATAATGGGCAAATATTGTACAATCCAGGTGTGCAAAGCTCCTAGAGACTTACCCCAAAAGACTCACAGCTGTAATCATGTCCACATCTTCTATAAGTAACATAATTGAGTTGCACAATACTTTTTTTTGATAATTTAGGATGATTTGAACATGTGTGAAAATGCTAATATAGGTACCACTGACTTGCTTTGGATTTGTGCCACAAATGCTAAAAAGTTTGCATTTCTAGCAGTGGCCAACCAAACCATAGCATGGGTTGCTGTCCTACCTTGTCAATAGATTGCTTACAGGGGAAGGAAACGAATGTAATTTTGTAATTTGGGTGAACTATCTCTTTAACATTGAGTGGGGTCTTCCAACTTTTTTCACCTAATAGCAGGAACACCACCATCTAGTAGTCAGAATCTGGTAATATCAGGATGTAGGATGGGACATAAACTTAACAACTTCAATTACTAATTTCTCTGAACAGGGGGAAAAAACATCACCACATTCACTGGGAATACATTACATAGGATGAAGAAACAATATTCCAAGCCACAGCTCCATATTACTTATGAAACACAGAGAACTGGTCCCCTGTAGCTCAGTTGGTAGAGCATGGCGCTTGCAACGCCGGGGTTGTGGTTTCGTTTCCCACGGGGGGCCAGTATGAAAATGTATGCACTCACTAACTGTAAGTCGCTCTGGATAAGAGCGTCTGCTAAATGACTTAAATGTAAATGTAGAACTGATACTATATACTTATTGTTGGGGTGGGATTGGCATGGGGTGTGGGGGGTCCGTGGGTGGCTTTTGACCATTCCTTTAGATTCCTCATGTCTAATTCATTGTTAGAAAAACAATTTCAGAATAATCTGAGATGGTGGGTGTCGAAATCCTATCTTGTGCTTTTTGAGGTGGAACGACCCTGTACTTTCTTTTAGGTTTTTGTGTGTTTTAACCAATAGCATGTCTCCTCCTTTAGGTCCATTTTGCAGTGTATTGGTGGAGAGGTTTGGTTGCCGGGCGACGGTGATGCTGGGCGGGGTCCTGAGTGGGCTTGGAATGGCGGCCAGCTCGTTCACCCACACCATCGCTGAGCTCTACGTCACAGCTGGGGTTATCACAGGTCACTGCGCTCCCACATACACACATGGAGTCACTCCACATCAGTGGCGGTCGGTGACGTTTAAGATGAGGGAGGACAATAAATTTTTTTATGAGCATGTCTTTATTTCTATTACAGCATATTGGATGACTGTCATTTACAGTGCATTCGGAAGGTATTCAGAGCCCTTCCCTTTTTCCACATTTTGTTACGTTACAGCCTTATTCTAAAATTGATTAAATAAACCATTTCCCTCATCAATCTACACACAATACCCCATACTGACAAAGTGAAAATTTTAGCACATTTATAAAAAATAAAAAACAGAAATACCTTATTTACATAAGTCTTCAGACCCTTTGCTATGAGACTCAAAATTGACCTCCGGTGCATCCTGATTCCATTGATCATCCTTGAGATGTTTCTACAACTTGATTGGAGTCCACCTGTGGTAAATTCAATTGATTGGACATGATTTGGAAAGGCACACACCTGTCTATATAAGGTCCCACAGTTGACAGTGCATGTCAGAGCAAAAACCAAGCCATGAGGTCGAAGGAATTGTCCGTAGAGCTCCGAGACAGGATTGTGTCGAGGCACAGATCTGGGGAAGGGTACCAAGAACACAACATTTCTGCAGCATTGAAGGTCCCCAAGAACACAGTGGCCTCCATCATTCTTAAATGGAAGAAGTTTGGAACCACCAAGACTCATCCTTCCTAGAGCTGGCGGCCTGGCCAAACTGAGCAATCGGGGGAGAAGAGCCTTGGTCAGAGATGTGACCAAGAACCCGATGGTCACTCTGACAGAGCTCCAGAGTTCCTCTGTGGCGATGGGAGAACCTTCCAGAAGGACAACCATCTCTGCAGCACTCCACCAATAAGGCCTTTATGGTAGAGTGGCCAGACGGAAGCCTCTCCTCAGTAAAAGGCACATGACAGCCCGCTTGGAGTTTGCCAAAAGACACCTAAAGGACTCTCAGACCATGAGAAACAAGATTCACTGGTCTGATGAAACCAAGATTGAACTCTTTGGCTAGAATGCCAAGCATCACGTCTGGAGGAAATCTGGCACCATCCCTATGGTGAAGCATGGTGGTGGCAGCATCATGCTGTGGGGATGTTTTTCAGCGGCAGGGACTGAGAGACTAGTCAGGATTGAGGGAAAGATGAACAGAGCAAAGTACAGAGAGATCCTTGATGAAAACCTGCTCCAGAGCAATCAGGACCTCAGACTGGGGCGAAGGTTTCAACAGGACAATGACCCTAAGCACACAGCCAAGACAACGCAGGAGTAGCATCGGGACAAGTCTCTGAATGTCCTTGAGTGGCCCAGCCAGAGCCCGGACTTGAACCCGATCGAACATCTCTGGAGAGACCTGAAAATAGCTGTGCAGCGATGCTCCCCATCCAACCTGACAGAGTTTGGGAGGATCTGCATGGGAGAAACTCCCCAAATACAGGTTTGCCAAGCTTGTAGCGTCAAACCCAAGAAGTCTCAAGGATGTAATCGCTGCCAAAGGTGCTAAAATACTCAGTAAATGGTCTGAATACTTATGTAAATGTGATATTTCCGTTTAGACATTTTTGCAAATCTATTAAAAATAACAAACACCTGTTGTTGCTATATCATTATGGGGTATTGTGTGTAGATTAATGAGGGGAAAAAACTATTAAATCAAATTTAGAATAAGGCTGTAACATAACAAAATGTGAAAAAAGTCAAGGGGTCTGAATACTTTCCGAATGCATTCCATTCACCCTTCTCAACGTAACATCGATAGGTTTAGGCTACTACATGATACTTGAATTTTCCCTAAATCCATCATGAGGTTGCTACAACCTAGCCTATGAATGAAAGTTTACAGCGTAGGTGCACAGGTCGAGAGAAAAAGGAGAGTAATCAAGGTGACAGACAGTGACACATTCAATACTGCCTTGCACACTCTTGCCTACCTCTAGCTGATCTAGGGTGTAACCATTAGTCAAATTCAGGTATGTTTATCCCCGTTTCGTTCCATTTGCTTCTGTTAAATAAAAGTTTTTCAACAGAATCGAGGAATGAATACACCCCTGATCACACGCGAACTCAGTTCACTGTCATAGCAGCCACATACAAACAGAATTAACATTTTGCTCGTTGTATAATTCCTTAGCTGATGTGTTGTGCACTGAAGTCCACAAGCGGTCTGTGACCAGGCGAAAAAACCTTTCTAAACCAAACCTTCATATCATAAACACTAACCACTACACACAGCCTAAATCATTGTCACCATATTAGCTAACGACGTTCGTAACGTCATAGTCAACATAGCTACTAGAACTAACGTGTTAGTAAACCCGCTACAATCATGCAGTACAGCGTACAGTGAGCAAGAAGTTTAGTAGTTACACCGGCAGGCCCCGGTGGCAATAAATTAGCTTATTAGCTGTAGCTTATGCTTTCAGTACTAGATTCGTTCTCTAATCCTTTGATTGGATGGACAACATGTCAGTTCATGCTGCAATAGCTCTGATAGGTTGGAGGACGTTCTCCGGAAGTGTCATAATTACTGTTTAAGTCTATGGAAGGGGGTGAGAACCATGAGCCTCCTAGGTTTTATATTGAAGTCGATGTACACAGACGGAAACGATCTGTCCTCCGGCTACACCATGGTGCTACCCTACAGAGTGCTGTTGACGTTACAGTAGACCTTCATTGCAAAACAGTGTGTTTTAATCAATTATTTGGTTATGTGCATATATTTAGTATAGTTTTATCTCAAAATGATAAATTATATTTTTATTTTGATACATTTCACTGAGGAGGATGGTCCTCCCTGTCCTCTGAGGAGCCTCCACTGCTCCACACAGCAGTTAACCCCTAACCACAGATCTAGAATCAGATTAACCCTACATTCTAATCCTTCCCTTGATTATTAGGAAAGGTGAATAAATCTGACCCTGTATCAGTGGATAGGGGCAACCTCCCATGCATTCAGCCATGTGCCTTATCCATTGTCTTCTCGTTTGACAGGACTTGGATTCTGCTTCAGCTTCCAGCCTGCAGTGACTATCCTCGGGCACTATTTTGTGCGGCGGCGGGCTTTCGCCAATGCCTTGTCGTCCACGGGCACGGCCCTGGGCCTGTGCACCCTGCCCCTCCTGGGCAACTACCTCCACACTGAGCTGGGCTGGCGTGGGAGTTTCCTGGTGCTGGGGGCTGTCCTGCTCAACTGCTGCGTATGCGGAGCTGTGATGAGGCCCCTGGGGGGCCCCAGACATCGTGGCCAGACCCTGATAAACCACAGGCCTCTTCAGCTGGAGGAGAAGAAGCTAAAGGGGAGAATGAGGGCCTTGTGGGCCGGTCTGATGGCTGCCGTGCGGCATCACATGGCCTTTGACCTCTTACGAAACAACCTGCGCTACCGTGTGTACGCTGTGGGCATCACCTGGATGATGCTAGGCTTCGTGGTGCCGCTGATCTACCTGGTTCCCTACGCCACGGCCCACGACATGGAGCAGAGCCAGGCCGCCCTCCTCCTCTCCATCCTGGGTATCGTTAACATTGTGGTGCGGCCTCCCATCGGTCTGCTCTTCAGCCTGCCCTGGTTCAAGGGGTGCCACACCTACGTGTTCTCTGCTGCTCTGCTGGTGAATGGGCTGAGTAATAGTATCTGCTGCATCGATGCCAGCTTCCCCGTGCTGCTGGCGTACGTGGTGACCTACGGCCTGTCCATGAGCGTGGTGGGCTCGCTGATGTTCACCGTCCTCATGGATACGTTGGACATGAGTCGCTTCCCCGCTGCCCTGGGCCTGCTCGCCATCATGGAGAGTGTCACGCTGCTGATCGGGCCCCCGCTCGCAGGTACCGAACTCACTGAGGCATGGAGAGTGTGTTTGTGTGTGGGTGTGTACTGTGTGTCTGCCTCCCCCCAATGGAAACCAGGCGAGGAGATGTCCTATTCAATGATTTAATTACATGTTTCATTTAATGAATCAAGTAAGTGCTGTAGCGTAACTTTGAGGAGTGCTAGACATGCCAACGAAACCCTTAGCTACAAATAACAACACACACAACATTGTGGTCAAAGGCAAGCAGCATATCCTGTTGCTTGGATCCCATGGACATCCAACCAATCATGTGTTTCCAAGGGAAACAGTGTGTTCACATGTGCTTGTATGTGTGTGTACATCCAAATGTACATGCATGTGTGCTCGTGCCCGTGTGTGCATGTTGCGGGGGGTCTTAGAATAACTAGCAGACAGACTTGAATAAGAATGTAATGTTCAGCCCTGGGCTCCCTCTTTCCTGGGGGGGGGGGGGAGGCACTGAAATAAACAGGGCGGCTCTCTTATTTCAGTGCCATTCCAGCTCAAATGTCAGGTATGCAGCCTAAGTTTTACTGCTTATGTGGTTGGCTAAGTTTGCCTGTGCAATGGTAATACTGTATGTTATTGGTGTAGTTATCTCGTTATCTCATCATGATCTGTCTTTCATGTACTGTAAGGGCTCTACTAATGCTGAGATTGGCTCCTGTTATTGTTGTTGAAGATGTTTATGTTGTTGTTGCAGGAATCCTGGTGGACAGAACGGGGGAATATTTCTATGTCTTCTTCGCCTGCAGTGCCACTGTTGCCTCATCGGCTGTATACCTCATGGTGTCTTTCTACTGGCTGGACAGAAGGGACAGGAGGGCGCTAAAGGGGCAGCAGGTGCCACCTCAGGTCCCCCCACCAAAGCCTGCCAGTGGTAACAATTTGGTCCCCCAGTGCCAGTACCGCAGTGTGCCCACAGAGGGGGACAAAGACAAGGCCTCAGACTCTGAGACGGGGGACATCACCTGCCTGTGAACATCGTCACTCTCCAAACACACACACCAAACTCACAGATGTGTACTTCCCACGATTCTGTGATTGTATATCCTGTGCTGCTGATTTTAAAGTAGAAGTGTATGATAATTGATATCCCAATCTGTTAAGATCTGACATTCCATCTAATCATAGTATACACACTCTTGCCTCTTGACTGTTACAGTATTGATGAGTGAAAAGGGGTTGAGTATTTCATCCAATGGGTGCATATTACATATAGTATAGGAGTGGATTATTCGTTGCTATTAGAGTCTGTACTGTTTATGCAGACTAGAGAATACTGTTACTGGTGATCGAATGCAGTACTTTTTCACACATGCCATAAACCTTAAACCTGTGCCTTTTCCCTCACACCCTGTTACGCGTTCATCAATGTCAAATTAAATTTGATTTGCCACATGCGCCGAATACAACAGGTGTAGACCTTACAGTGAAATGCTTACTTACAAGCCCTTAACCAACAACACTTTTTTTCTTAAAACTGCATTAAGTAAAAAATGGATAAGTAAAAAATACAAATAACAGTAGACATGATAAAATAGTCCGGGTAGCCATGATTAGCTGTTCAGGAGTCTTATGGCTTGGGGGTAGAAGCTGTTAAGAAGTTATTTGGACCTAGACTTGGCGCTCCGGTACCGCTTGCCATGCAGTAGCAGAAAGAACAGTCTATGACTAGGGTGGCTGGAGTCTTTGACAATTTTTAGGGCCTTCCTCTGACACCGCCTGGTATAGAGGTCCTGGATGGCAGGAAGCTTGGCCCCAGTGATGTACTGGGCCGTACGCACTACCCTCTGTAGTGCCTTGCGGTCGGAGGCTGAGCAGTTGCCATACCAGGCGGTGATGCAACCAGTCAGGATGCTCTCGATGGTGCAGCTGTAGAACATTTTGAGGATCTGAGGACCCATGCTAAATCTTTTCAGTCTCCTGAGGGGGAATAGTCGTTGTCATGCCCTCTTCACGACTGTCTTGGTGTGTTTGGACCATGATAGTTTGTTGGTGATGTGGACACCAAGGAACTTGAAGCTCTCAACCTGTTCCCTGTCGATGAGAATGGGGGTGTGCTCAGTCCACTTTTTTTTCCTGTAGTCCACAATCATCTCCTTTGTCTTGATCACGTTGAGGGAGAGGTTGTTATCCTGTTGTTCAAGAAGACATGCCACCTTAAGAATCACTCACCACACTTCAAAAAGCAATGACTGTGCAAAAGACACAGGGCCTTTTGTATAGGCAATCAATTAAAATGAACATTTAATATCTGTATTCCATTTCTTATACATACTACACCAGAAGAAACCTCAACTGAATGATAAGTACTGTACCAGTTTATTTCAACATCAAAGACTGATATCATTGATAGAGCATATCAACGTCAAACTCTTAATCTCAAGAACTCTTACATAAACACATTTCTTTATGATTCTGTGAATGTCTTACACAATAATCAGTAGCCTACTGATATGACTGAGAATGGCTTGTGTAAAAGTACAGGATGAGTCACTAGGACATGGGTGCTTTTCATTGTCAAAGACTGAAGCAAGTACTGCAGGTGTTGGAGATGTATCTTACTTCTCCACAGGTATGGACTGTATCATCACAAGATTACTCTAAGGAACATACAGTCACATATGTGGCAACATACATTAGGCCAGGGTTTCCCAAACTCAGTCCTGGTCCCCCCGGGTGCAAATACTTTTTTTTGCCCTAGCACTACATAGCTAATTCAAATAATCAAAGCTTGATGATGAGATGGTTATTTGAATCAGCTGTGTAGTGCTAAGGCAAAAACCAAAACGTGCACCCAGAGGGGGCCCCAGGACAGAGTTTGGGAAACCCTGCTTTAGGCTATGGCTCCCTTGCAATAGGAATATGAATAGGTATTTTTATATAAAGGGCTATTGTTTCTTGCGCTGGGGCCAAATAATGAAATGTTTTTTTTTCATATGATTGAATACATTATTTATATAAAATAATTATGGAAATTATAATAAATGTCATCCTAAAAAAAAACGTGTTTTTCACACCTGGACTTCATTACTCCCTGATTACTTACCCTTCATATACAGTGGGGGAAAAAAAGTAATTAGTCAGCCACCAATTGTGCAAGTTCTCCCACTTAAAAAGATGAGAGAGGCCTGTAATTTTCATCATAGGTACACGTCAACTATGACAGACAAATTGAGAGAAAAAAAATCCTGAAAATCACATTGTAGGATTTTTATGAATTTATTTGCAAATTATGGTGGAAAATAAGTATTTGGTCACCTACAAACAAGCAAGATTTCTGGCTCTCACAGACCTGTAACTTCTTCTTTAAGATGCTCCTCTGTCCTCAAACAGTCACACTCCAAACTCCACTATGGCCAAGACCAAAGAGCTGTCAAAGGACACCAGAAACAAAATTGTAGACCTGCACCAGGCTGGGAAGACTGAATCTGCAAAAGGTAAGCAGCTTGGTTTGAAGAAATCAACTGTGGGAGCAATTATTAGGAAATGGAAGACATACAAGACCACTGATAATCTCCCTCGATCTGGGGCTCCACGCAAGATCTCACCCCGTGGGTTCAAAATGATCACAAGAACGGTGAGCAAAAATCCCAGAACCACACGGGGGGACCTAGTGAATGACCTGCAGAGAGCTGGGACCAAAGTAACAAAGCCTACCATCAGTAACACACTACGCCGCCAGGGACTCAAATCCTGCAGTGCCAGACGTGTCCCCCTGCTTAAGCCAGTACATGTCCAGGCCCGTCTGAAGTTTGCTAGAGTACATTTGGATGATCCAGAAGAGGATTGGGAGAATGTCATATGGTCAGATGAAACCAAAATATAACTTTTTGGTAAAAACTCAACTCGTTGTGTTTGGAGGACAAAGAATGCTGAGTTGCATCCAAAGAACACAATACCTACTGTGAAGCATGGGGGTGGAAACATCATGCTTTGGGGCTGTTTTTCTGCAAAGGGACCAGGACGACTGATCCGTGTAAAGGAAAGAATGAATGGGGCCATGTATCGTGAGATTTTGAGTGAAAACCTCCTTCCATCAGCAAGGGCATTGAAGATTAAACGTGGCTGGGTCTTTCAGCATGACAATGATCCCAAACACACCGCCCAGGCAACGAAGGAGTGGCTTCGTAAGAAGCATTTCAAGGTCCTGGAGTGGCCTAGCCAGTCTCCAGATCTCAACCCCATAGAAAATCTTTGGAGGGAGTTGACAGTCCGTGTTGCCCAGCGACAGCCCCAAAACATCACTGCTCTAGAGGAGATCTGCATGGAGGAATGGGCCAAAATACCAGCAACAGTGTGTGAAAACCTTGTGAAGACTTACAGAAAACGTTTGACCTGTGTCATTGCCAACAAAGGGTATATAACAAAGTATTGAGAAACTTTTGTTATTGACCAAATACTTATTTTCCACCATAATTTGCAAATAAATTCATAAAAAATCCTACAATGTGATTTTCTGGAGAAAAAAATTCTCATTCTGTCTGTCATAGTTGACGTGTACCTATGATGAGAGAGGCCTGTAATTTTCATATTTTTAAGTGGGAGAACTTGCACAATTGGTGGCTGACTAAATACTTTTTTTCCCCACTGTAGCACTCTTTTGATACTAGTCATCAGGTAGTGTTGTTTGGGTTTCCATGACAGACGTTGTTCATATTTTGTATCGTTCCATGTTCGTCATTATTAAACTCACTACCTGCTTCCTGACTCCCTGTGTCTACGTTACAGAATACTACCTCACCAAATGGAAGCAGCAGTTAATCAGGACATCTCCCAGATGGTCAGTGAACAGAGACTCCAACTTCGCCAACACCACGACCAGCTGGCACAACTGGGGATGGCTATGGAAGAGGTCCTCCGCGTTCTTCAACGGATTCTCCACCACAAATCAACCCAGTGAGCCAGCACCCCAACAGTCCGCCCAAGTCAGCGATGCCAGTTCGTCCATCACGGACAAATATGATGGGTCTCCATCCAAATGCCGTGGCTTCCTCCTCCAGCACTCCCTATATTTCACTCATCAGATGGGAACCCCCACCACGAGAGGTCCAAGGTTGCCACGGTTATTTCCCTGCTGACCGGCCAGGCGTTGGAGTGGGCAACGGCTGTCTGGGAGAGAGGAGGAGCTGGGTTCCTATGAGGGGTTCGGGGGGGGGGTCTTCGACCATCCACCTGAGGGCAGAGCAGGGGATGAGCGCCTACTCCAACCATGGCAGGATGGCCAGACCACGGCGGAGTATGCACTCACCTTTCGGACAGTAGCAGCATCCAGCGGATGGAATGAGCCGGCGCTCCGCACCCTATTCAGAAGAGGATTGCGCAAAGAGGTCCAGACGGAGTTGGCGTGCCGATGACAATCTAACCTTGGACTCACTCATCGCGATGGCCATCCGTCTAGATAACCTTCTTCGGGCGCGTCGGCACCCCCATCGCCTCTCTTCCTCCTTCGTTGACCGTTCTGAATCAGAGCCTGAACCCGTGGCGGTAGGGGCCACACCTCTCCTCGTCGCCGGAGACAGCTGGGGCTCTGTCCCTATTGCAGCCAGAAGGGGCTTCAGTGGTGTTCTGTGCACCCTAACCCAGGGTCCTCTAGAGCAGAGGGGTGGCCCCGTGTCCTTTCATATCCCAGGGTGTCACGAGAATTTCTATCTCTAATTAATCAAACTTAATGCTCTGAATAATTCCCAGAGGGTGTAAATTCTCTGGTTTAATCATGAATTAAACAAAGGTCCGCAACCAGCAAGAATGATCTGTATTTTTAATCATGGAGAGCTCTGGCGCCAAAAAACATACATACAGCTTTTATATCCCTTGACACACAAAGGCACTTTGCTCCGCCCACCTTTAAACCGTTTCTTAGTCCCCTTCACCCTGGAATGCTTTCTCAACAGTTTCTAACTTCCCCCCTCTGTTAGTGGGTTGACACTACATTATAACTCTAACACCTCACACATTTATACCGTATTTGG